CGCCTTCGTCAAGGGGGCGAAGCTGAGCGTGCTTCTTCTTGGGCGAAGGTTCATGGGTGGCAAATCCTCCTCACGCCTGCCCCCCCCCCCCCCCCACCTCCGCTGGTGGGGCGTCGGCTGGCGTTGAAACCATGGTTCGTGATTATCTCGGCCACCGCCCCCCGTCAGGAGGACATGTTTGGGCCCCGCTCAGGGCGGTAGGTGCGATAGTTAACATCCCAGGAGGCGATGCCATGTACGTCTCCAGCCTCTGCCTCTACCATTCCCAGGGGCCCAGCGACCTGAATGTTGGTCTTCTGTCTCATGTGGCTGCTGCGCTTGAAGTCTGAGCTGGGCCGCGCATTCTTGGGGCTGGTTTTAACATGGAACCGTCAGTTTTCCAGGGGTCCGGGTTCGCCAGGTCTTGTGGGGGACGTGTTGTGGTTCCTGGGGCCGCTTCTGGATCCTGTTTAGCCTCTGGAGGGCTGCGCCTGCTCGACTATTTCGTGGTTGCCAGTGAGTTATCCAAAGGGTTATATACAGTGCTCGTCGAACATACGGCATGTACGTCGCCGCGCTCGCCCGTCTCTCTGGCGCTTTATCCGCAGCTGGCGCAGTTATATGGTCTGAAGTTCCGACGACCCCCCCCCCCCCCCCTATCCCTGTGGACCCCGCCATTGGGCCACCACCGCAGCCCCCAAGTTGGGAACAAGCGATGGCCCTGGGACAGCAGCTCTTGGAGGCCGTTGACTCTGGGAGAACTCAGCCTGTCCAGAAGTTGCTTGATGCGGTCTATTCATCTTGGGCCAACCTTTCTGAGCGCGAGTTGGCCAACTCGCGAGGTGTTAAGCTGCCGTGCGTCAGGTCTCGTGGCAAGGCCCCGCATATGCATTAGGTATTGGTCCTTGAGCAAGAGGAAACCGCCTGTGCGTCAACCAGTCTTCTATGCCATCCGGTGGTTGTACCTCAAGTTCAACATGTACGTCTGTCTGCACAGTGACTCCACAGGCGTCGCCGCCTTGCAGCAGGCTGACGCGGTGAAGCGCTTGATTTGTGACCCACCATCTTTCTTGCAGCCAGGTCTCGACCACCACAGCCGCTGGCATTCCGCTGTTCGTGCTGCTGTGGAGCAGCCATTTGGTCAGGATCTGTGCGGCGCGCTTTGTGACCAGCTCGATGTTGCAGTATCTGCTGTTGAGGCTATTGCCCAGCAGGAGGCTTTAGCTGGTTGGAAGCAATGGCTGTTGGACAAAGCCGAAGCGGGTGCTAAGCGAGCTCATTCGGTCGTTCGAGGTTTTACACCATGGGCTCCCACTACGGCTTTTCTCTCCAATGGTGTGGTCGTGGCTGACCCGCAGGCTCTGCTCGATGCTCAGGCTACGCAGTACTCTCAGCTCTGGCATGCGCACCAGCAACCTCGGCAATATCGTGATTCGTTTCAGCCTCATACTCCCCTTCCTCGTCTTTTTTCCTGGTGCTCTTCGGGTTTGCAGTCGTAAGTTTCCTAAGGGCACTGCAACTTCGATCGACGGTTTTCACATGCGTCACTTCGAGTCGCTGTCTGATGACTCGCTCGACCTCTTGTCCGTGATCTACGTTGCAACGGGGCCCGGCGGTCTCGCGCCCACGCAGGCTAATGTCACCATCATGTCTCTCATTGGCAAGCACGCAGGGGGCTTCAGGCCCATTGGCTTCTTTTCCTCGATCTATCGCATGTGGGGCAAGGGGAGAAGGGGTTATGCTACGAGATGGGAGGATGAGCGCCGTCGGCCTCATTTTGCTGCTGGAAAGTTTACATCATCCACAAATGTGGCGCGGCGGCGATCCGTGAGAGGGGAGGCCGCGGTGCATGATGGCAAAGTCTCAGCAATCTTGTTGGGGGACCTTGTGAAGTGCTTTGAGTCGATTAACCTCGGCCTCCTCCTCCAACGATGTGCCCAACATGGCTTTGATATGACGTTCGCTCGGCTGGTCGCAGCCATGTACAGCAATGCGCGTTTCGTCACGATGGGCCAGCTGCTTCGTGGCCCTTACTATCCCCAGCGCGGCATTTTGGCAGGCTTCCCCTTTGCAACTACTATGGTAAGGATTTTTATAATCGGTCCGCTCGACTCGGCTGGCCCCCCGAGGACTGTTTCGCTCGACGTGTACATCGATGATTATGGTTCATCGACTGCCGGAACGTGCTCGGAAGTAATATATGACCTGTCGGAGGCGGCCACCTCGTTGAGCGCTGCCATTGTTGACGACATCGGTGGCATTATCTCTCATTAGAAGGCTGACCTCGTGGCCTCTCATCGCCATGTTGCCGTTGCTCTACGCAACAGACTTGGAGCTCTCGCTGGCCAGCGAGTCATGTCTTCTGCAGCTAACCTTGGAGTTGATCGCACCTCTGGACGGCCCCGTCGGGCCCCCATGCGGTCCAGGGTTTTCCTGCTTCGTATGCTGACGCTGAAGCGCAAGACGAAACGGCTGCAAAATATACGGCAAGCTTTAGGCAGACGCTCCAGGAAGCTTTTTATTACTGGGCCTCTGCCAGGCTACTACTACGGGTGCGAGGTTCACGGGGTCTCGGACAGGGAGTGGGGGATTGCTCGACGCGCTTTTGGTCGCTGCATCAGGCCCAAGGCTGGATCCCGCTCGCTAACCTCGGCTGTGGCTCTCGACAGGGGCCCTACCTACTATGGGCCCATTGCCCCCATCCTGAGGTACGCCAAGGAGCTCTGGGGGACCCGCATGCGCACTATCGGTTTCACGTTGACCTGGTCTGATCTCAGATCGTCTTGGGAATCTGTGTTCGTAGGTCCTGGGCCCGATCGCTGGAAGCAGGCACGGGCCCCATCAGTGCCATGAAGCTCAGCCTGCACCGCATTGGATGGTCGATGCCGAGCTTCACGGTAACGAAGGACCAGTTCGGAGTTACTGTGCCGCTCACGCTTGTGAGCCCTGCATTATTGAAACGTCATCTTAGGCTAGCTGTTGTTCACCTTCATGAGCGCCGTGCATGCGCCAAGTTTTTCCCCGCGCTTCAGCAGCCAGTCCGCGCGCGCCATGATCAGGTTCATGCTATGTTGCAGTCGTCCAAATTCACGTCCCTCGAGAAGGGCTCCATCAGCGCTCTCGCCTGTGCTGCAGTATGGAGCAAGGCCCGCGCTCGTGCTGCGGGATATCAGATGGCGAGTGGACTCTTTGAATTATGTGGCAGTGCGGACGACGCGATCCTGCGCCGGTTGTGGCACTGCCCCGCCTGCGATGACACCCGTAAGGAAGTCTTTGGTAGAGATGCTCACCTGGCTCCTCCCCTAGACCTCACAGAGGAGAGTGACCCAGAGCAGTACCTCCTCTACACCCGAGGGCTCTATGTTCATCCTGGCGACTATCTCCCTCGCCCAGCTCATGATATCCATGGTCCAGGTTCTGGCGTCCAGGTTTCGTGGGCTGGGGACCCCTACAACCATTGCACCATCCTCAACGGTAGGCTCTATGTTGACGGCTCCTGCTTTAGGCATGTGTCTCCTGAGCTCTCCAGGGCGGGGTGGTCGGTGGTTAGCGTTTCAGAACAAGGGGGGAGTGCAGTGTAGTATCTCTGGGCCCCTTCTTGCGCAGTTCCCCCAAACGTCACAAGCTGCTGAGTACGCAGCCTACACTATAGCTGCCCAGTGTGGTGATGAAGGTAGTCACATGTTTAGCGACTGCCAGAATGTGGTTAACTCAGCTCTCGACCCCATCCCCGCTCGCCTGTCTTTTCGCCGCCCGTGCGCGGGGTTTATGCTCCAGGCTTTGGGCCCTATCGCTAGCTCTGTCAGTAAGGTGAAGGGGCGCGTTCCCGATAGTTCCGACCTCGCACCTGAGGCGCGTGCCCATAAGTTCGGCAATGATTGCGCTGATCAGGCTGCCCGCCTTGCCGCCCTGAGACACCCGTCACCAGACCCAGGTGATGCTGAGCGTCGCGCGCTGTGTGCAGGCTGGCTGCACGCGTCGTGTCTTTGTGGCCCAAGCTGGATCTTTCAGGGGCCTCCTGGACCAACCCCCCTCCCCCCCCGCTCCGAGGCCCCCTCCTCTGCCCCCTCATGAGTGGTCCTGGGAAGGCAGGTTTTGGATATGTGCCTCGTGTTTTCGTTGTGCTCGTGGTCCCCAGAAGCCCTCCCCTGGGCGGTGTCGTGGAGCGGTCGCGATCAAAGGCCTTACGGGGCAGGGCTTCATTGGCCATGGGCACAGACCTGTATTCTTTGATGTGAACCAGGGTGGTGGCATCCTAGTTGCCTGCACCCGATGTTGTTATTACACGTGCGGAGGCCAGGTCAGGAAGCTTGGCAAGCAATGCCTAGGGCCTCCTGACAAGCAGAGTAAGTCCGACCATGGCCGCATGCACGCTTGGGGTGAGATTTTGAAAGGTCTGCGCCCCCAAAGCGGAGTGTCTCTTTCTTTTGGCCTCGATGACATGTCATCTGAGCCACCTGTCGGCCACTCCGACATGGCCAACGACCAGGCGCCTGCGCCGCCCCCCCCCCGATTGTCGTCCCGCCGTCGGATCGTGTTCATGACGGGAGGGGGGCGGGGCGGGCTGGGCCGCCTGGTGATCGGGGACTTTCTTCTTCCTCCTCCACCCCTCCCAATGCGGAGGGGTTGGTGGAGAATGACGAGCAGCTCCGTTCGGTCAGAGCCCACCTCCACTGCGCGGAGGATGAGGCCCCGTCTACCTCAGGAGCTGCTCGTGCAAGGTCAGCGGGGTCTGGTGACTCCGACTGAGCCTTCGGTCCTCGGGGTGCCTTTCGTCTGCGTTGGCCACCGCCCTGGTCCCCTGCCCCAACTGATGTTTCCGCCCAGTGCTGTTTCATCCTGGCGGCTTTCACCTCCTCTGCGGTTGATGTTGAAATACCTGCTCCCTCCTCCCTCGCTGAGCTACGAGTGCCCCCCCCTCCTCCTCCTGGAGCCGGGCGCTCGACCCCTCGTCCGCCTTTTCCGCCCCTCCGCCCCCCGCCCCGCGCAGAGCGCCTGCCCTGACAGCGCCTGCCCCGCAGGCTACTCCTGGGAGAAGCTGCGCATGCCGCCCGGCAAGTTCGCGATGATGCTGCACCTCTCCCTGGAGCCTGCACGAGCGACACGGGTAGGGAAAAGTCAGGCCTGTCCTCTTGCAGGGTGCTTTTCGACGAAAAATCAAACATACCCCAAAAATAGTCAAAACATAATCCAAACATAGTCTGGGGAGTATGTTTGGGTATGTTTTGGCCTTTTTGGGAGTATTTTTGGTGTATTTCTTATCTTTCGTCGAAAATCCCCCTGTAGGGGAACACGCCCGACTTAAGGGTAGGAAAAAAAGGGGCACAATGCCCAGCAGCGCTTCCTGTTCATCTTGGACAGGACTCGCTGTCCGCGCCGCCGCGGCCGGTGTCCATTTGAGACGGAAGGCCGCCTGCCCAACAGTGGCCGCTGTCGGTTGGGAACAACCTTTGTTGTTGGGCATTGCACCTCTTCTTTCCTTGCCCATTGCGGGCGTCCACAGAGACGGGCCGCAGGTTCAGGCGATCGCAAACATGCACCAAGGGGGGCGTGGACTAGCGACGGGTCCCGATTCCATGGGACACCGCGGAGTTCCGCCGCCGAGCGAGGCGGCACCAGCGCCGCATTCGGGGGGAGGACGCCTCCCGCGATCCATGGACTTGGCGTCCGCGCGCCAAGTCCACGGATCGCTAATCCATGTTGGCGCGCCCCCGGCAGGTGCCCGTTGCCGGGAGGATGGGGAGGTCCTCCTCCTCCTCCTCCTCCTCCTCCTCTTCCTCCTCCTCTCCTCCTCCTCCTCCTCCTCCTCCTCCTCCTCCTCCTCCTCCTCCCTCCCCTCCTCCTCCTCCTCCGCCTCCTCCTCCTCCTCCTCCTCCTCCTCCTCCTCCTTCTCCTCCCAGAGGTTTCCGGGTGCCCGCCCTGCCTGTTGGCTGCCGGGCCGTCTGGCTTCGGGATGCTTTTTCCAGCAGTGCTGCGCTGCTCGGGGGGGTCCTTCCGCGGGTGTCAATGGGACCAGGGACACACACAAATAAATACACACAAATACAAGGATTCCCAATATATTCCCATATTTTCTGGGTTTTTGTCTTCCCCCCCAATTCCCATATTTTCTTATATTTTCTGCGGGATCGACGATTAATTGTGTCTGTGTGTTTCTTTCCCTCCTGAGGGTGGCCGGTCCTTCTCCCGAACGCCCGACGGAGGCCCGCGCAGCGGCCCGGAAGCCATGCTGAAGGTTTGAGGAAGCTCAGGCTGCGCCACGGGGTGTCACCCAATAGGGGGCTCACACCTCCGGTCGAGGATCGAGCACGGGGGAGCTTCGAGAACTCATGGGGGGTCAGTGGATCTGGTTGGGGCGCTGGGGATGGTCGTGGGGGCGTGCGGTGTGCAGGAGTTCCCGCAGACGTCTCGGGCCTCCTCTGTATATGGGGTCCGCGTAGGTGGGGTCGGAGGATCGCGCCGCATCGCCGATGCATCGCCGATGCGGTTCGATGTGCGCCCCGATTTGCTTCACGTCGACGTCGCCGATGCATCGCCGACGTCGCCGGTGCATCGCCGGTGCATCGCCGATGCATCGCCGATGCGGCGCGATCCTCCATCCCCATCTACTCCGACCCCATCTAGGAGGTCTCTAGAGGTGGCGACCCCCCTTGTGGTGTGAGTCCAACAGTAGAGGTGTGCATTTGAGAATGCCACCACCGACGTAGGCACATTCGAAACACTCTAGGGACAACAAATCCAATGAATCTGTTATAAATGATCTGATCCAACACCAATAAATGCAACGTCCCCCGAAAGGATTGGACGGGGCGGAATCGCCGGCCAGGGCCGGGACTGGGCGGGGCTCGCGTGCCGACCATTGGCTGGCGCACCCCCCAAGGCTGCACCGAGTGGCCCGCCTCGTCCGGCACGCCGGTGCCCCAGGACCAGGAGGCGATTGGCAGGGGCGGGGACGAGGATGTCGCTGCACATGGGAATACCGGCTGCTTGGACACATGTGGTTCACAGTAGTTGTTGAGCTCACAGTGGAAGAGCGTGTATTCTTTGCACGCTCGCCTCAAGCCAAAACCACGGTCGTGTCCAGTGTGCTGTCCGTAGCGGCTGAGTAGAGGACCGCGGCATCAATGGGGCGCTTTTTGCACAGGTGCCATCGGCGCGTCTCACACACGGTCCTACGAGCATGGAGCGTGCGAATCCGAACATTTATCGGTGTACATTGGAGATCCATCATTGGGTAGAGGCGAGTGGCACAAGCGGCCAGATAACAAATATCGAGGTGCAGTTTGACTGCTCAACTGTCGCAGACTCAAGAAGCACGATGAAATGGCCGCAGGCGAAAAGACCACACGCAGTGCACATTGACAGGTGGCCGAGGCAAAATGCAGCCCAGAGCTCCCAATCTCAAGGGCGACCTCGAACACGGAAATCAAGCAGTGGCGAAGCGTCCTGGCTCGCCTATAGCCCCACCAAACAATGTTCTAAGAACCTTTTGTGGCCCCCACGAAATGTTCTTAGAACATTTCTGGCTGCGACTGTCTTGTTTTAACACATCGGGTTGATGTTCTAAGAACATTGTTTTTGTTATTAGAACATTTTCTTGGTAGGACTATAGGAATGCCGGGACGGTCGGCCCCTGCTCAAAGAAAGCGTTTCCCCCCGAGGATCGAGCATCGAGGGCTTGTCGGGCCTTCGGGGTCTGTCCAGGGTGCCGGGGGGGGGAGGCCAGGCCCAAGCGTAACCTCGAGCCGCTCCTGCCGCATCGCATGCGGCCACTGGGCAAGCTGGCACCAGAGGCCACCTTCTGCCTGCAGCCTCTCTCGGGAGTATGTCGGCGGTCTGCCTCCGGGCTGTCGCTGGGGGCGGAGGAGGAGGAGGAGGTGGAAGAGGAGGAGGAGGAGTATGAGGAGGAGGAGGAGGAGGAGGAGGAGGAGGACGGAGGAGGAGGAGACGGAACAGGAGGAGAGGAGGAGGAGGAGGAGGAGGAAGAGGAGGAGGAGGAGGAGGAGGGGTAGGAGGAGAATGAGGAGGAGGAGAGGAGGAGGAGGAGGGAGGAGAACAAGGAGGGGGGAGAGGAGGAGGAGGAGGAGGAGGAGGAGGAGGAGGAGGAGGAGGAGGAGGAGGAGGAGGAGGAGGAGGAGGAGGAGGAGGAGGAGGAGAGGAGGAGGAGGAGGAGGAGGAGGAGGAGGGAGGAGGAGGAGGAGGAGGAGGAGGAGGAGGAGGAGGAGGGAGGAGGAGGAGGAGGAGGAGGAGGAGGAGGAGGAGGAGGAGGAAGAGGGAGGAGGAAGGCGGTGCACAGGAGGCGCGAGTGGCCGTGGCCACTGCAGGAGGCCGGCCCGCGTGCCTCTGCAGTCATCGGGGAGCCTTTAGACGGGGGTCAATGCAAACGGGGGTCAGCCAAGGCACCAAATCCTGCAGGATCCTGCGAAGACCCCCTCTGGCCGACCCGGGTCAGCGAGCCGCTCGTGGCCGCGAGGCGGCCGCGCACATTGGCTGACCCGGGTTTGCGAAAACCTGCGTTGCAGTTTTTTTTGTTCTTGCATTGCAGTTTTTGGTTTCCTGCTGACCCGGGTCTGGATTGACCCGGGTCAGAAAATCCCCGAAGTCAGCGCATCTAGTAAGGACGCGCGCCTTCATCTACGTGGGGTGAAGTCGGGCACGTCCCTCTACAGGAGGAATACCCAAACACACTTACATAATAGTCTGCGGACGATTTTTCGACGATTGCTCGATTATTTGTTGGGGAGTATGTTTTGCATATTTTCATTGTTCGTCCAGAATCGGCCTGTTGGGGGGCAGGCCCGACCTAAGCCTAGTACGAACGCGCGCCTTCATCGAGGGGTGCCCTTGTGTCCCTGCCTCTGCGGCCCGCCCGCAGCCGTGCTCCCTGGTCGCCGGCCGCCAAGAAACTCGCAACTTCGGCCTCCAAGGGTCTTGCGTCCTGATTGCCCCTCCTCAATGCAAGCAGTGGCGAAGCGTCCCGGCTCGCCTATAGCCCCACCAAACAATGTGCTAAGAACCGCTTGTGGTTCCCACGAATTGTTCTTAGAACATGTTTGGCTGGGGCTGTCTTCTTTTAACACAGAAGGCTTATGTTCTAAGAACCTTGCTTTGTTTCTTAGAGCATCTTGGGGTTCTGAGAACATTTCGTGGTAGGACTATAGGAATGCCGGGACGGTCGTTCTCTGCTCAACCAAGGGTCTTGCGTCCTGATTGCCCCTCCTCAGTGCAAGTTTTGACGGTGGGTCACCCCCGGGACCACGCGCGCGAAGAGACTCGTGCCCTGCGCGTGGCCCTTTGCCAGATCGCAGAGGCGCCCTTCTCCGGGGCGGCGGCTCGAGGGCACGCGGAGTGGCCGCGCGCGTGGTGCCTCGGCGAGTGCCCTCGGCCCTTCCACCAGGCGTCGGCCGTTCCTTCGCGTGCAGCTCGATCCTCGATCCTCCTCGTCCTCCTCCTCCTCCTCCTCCTCCTCCTCCTCCTCCTCCTCCGTTGCCATTTTGGCTCAAGTGCAGGGGGCGCTTGAGTGGGCAGCTTCTCTTGAAGAAGCGTTCTTGGGTGTCGAGCCCGAGCGGACACCATCCCAGGCTTGGGTGTTCACCCTGCGTCTGCGCGGCGACGCTCGGGCGAACACTCCCGCGCCATGTCGAGTGCGGAGGACAAGATGGACAAGCTCATGGAAAAGTTCGACAAGATGAACTCCGCTGTTACAGGCCTCGCCGATCTCGTCACCAAGATGGATAAGATCACTGAGGCCGTTGACAAGCATGCGAAACTCTTCGACAAGATCCAAGAAGACTTGGCCAATCTACAGTGGAAGCTCGACAACAGCAGTAACGGCAGCACGGGCACCTTTTGTTCTGGGTGTACCTGGCACGGAGGGGTTTCGGAAGGTGGCAGTTCTCTCAAGCGAGCTCGTCGTGCGACGTCGGAACCTCCACCTGACAGACCGCATGACCCTTGCAAGGTGTGGATCGGAGGTTTCCCGCGCAAGTTGATGGGAGCCCAGTTCGAGATGCACTGGAGCAAGATCAAGATGATTATGCCTCATGAGATTCAGCAGACGGCCAAACCAAAGTTCTACAACTTGCAGTACGCCTACTCGGTGATCTTCGAGGAGCCCGACCAGGCCAAGGACTTCATCGCGAAGACCAGGGACAATGATGCGCGGATGACCTGGAAGGACCCGCGCAGCGGCGAAGAGAAGCTCGCCCGCGCACGTCCTGACCAGACGCTCGATGTCAGGAAGAAGCAGAAGACGCTGGGGAAGCTTTGGGAGCCTGTCCTCAAGTTGCTGAAAGTGCATCCTCGCTGGGGGTTGTGCACGCACAAGCTGGGCACGAACGGGCCGAAGGGCATCTTGTTTGTCGCCAGCCCCGACGACGTCTGGGACCTGTTTTCGTTCACCGAGGCGCCTGGCGACACGTTCACCGTCCACGCCAATGACGGCAACCTGCTGGAGTGGGGGATTGACACCGCCAAGGCCACGGAGATCACCACCGCGGCCACGCAGTAGGAGGCCCGCCTGCAGTGCTGCAGGCAACCGCCTTTCGATAATCTTTCTCCTTGTTGCATTGAGCCACCGCTGAAGCGTCAGCGTGCTGCAGGAAACACTAGTCTTGCGCGGGCAGGCAGGCTATTTTCCAGCAGTTCCTCCTCCTCCTCATCCTCCTCCTCCTCCTCCTCTGTCTGCGCTTCTTCCAGTTCGAGCAGCGGGGATCGCGGCTGCCGAATGCCTCTTCATGCCTTCTTCCCTCGGCAACACCTAAGTATATGCAGTTGGAACTCTCGTGGTCTTCATGGGGGAGCTTCTGGTTCTCATGGGCCCCAGCGTCGAAAGCAGAGAAAAAGTCGACTATCTTTGCGCCAGGCATTCTACTGTTCTTCTGCAGGAAACGCACGGGACTCCAGGAGATGACGAAACCCTTCGACGGTCTCTACCTCAGCATCGTATCTACACTACTTACTGTCAGTCTGCTCGCGCTGGTGGATGTGCTATCATCGCCCAACAATCTCTCGCTCGTCTCTTTCGCTCTGCTCGGCATCGCGTTCATCAGGCAGGCAGGCTCCACTCGCTTCTGCTTTCGGGGCCTATGGGATGTTTGCAAATCATCGATATCCATCTGGATCCTGAGCTACGTGTGCAACAGAAAAGAAATGTGCTCTCGGAAGCAGCTCGTCTTGTTCGTGGGCCGAGGTTTGCGCTCGCTCTCTTTGGAGGCGACTTCAACTTTTACGCTCCTGGAGAGGGCCGTCAGTATCTTGACGGGCGGCGCTCGGGAGGTAATTCGTCGAATTGCTACCACCTGGATAGTTTCTTCCAGGCCAAGTTTCCTGGTCTAGCGGAGGTCGAGCAGGAATGGCCCACTCATGTTCGAAATCGCAATGGGGCTCCTGAGTCGGTTGCGAGGTTGGATCGGCCCTATACGAATGCTTACACGTCTACCCTTCTCGACCTCCATCCTACCACAGGTGTACATGGGAGTGTCTTTGGCGTTGGCAACTGCAGTGGCCATATTCCGATCTATTTGGGGCTCACGCCGGCCTCGATGAGAAACCAGAGCCAGGGGCGCATTCCGACTTGGGTTGCCAAACACCCCAGTTTTCTTGGGCCTGTCGAAGCGATTGCTGCGTCTGTGGATTTTCACCTCGGCCCGACCATCAAACTTGCTGAAGTCAAGTCAGTTGCCTTCGCCGCGAAGCAGGCGGTGCTTGCCGAACTTGCAAGCTCTTACCCAGCGACCCCCATGCAGAAGATTTCGTGGATGCTTGCTGCGCAGCGCGCCATTCGTAGAGGGGACGGTGGCGTCGTCGCCAAGGCCTGCCGTGGGTTTCCTGATCTTCGGAGATTTATTGATACTGGGTCTGGGCAATTCTCGGACTTCGACGGGTTCCAAGGGCTGATGAATCTTCTGAATCGCGAGCACATTGACCACCTCATGCACGAGAATCACGAGCTACCCGAAACCCACTCGAAGAAGCAGGCCCGAGCTGAGGCCTTGAGGAAACGTCAGGCGGGGTGGCCCCCAAAATCCAGGAATATCGGGCTGGCCCAGATTCGAGACCCACGAGGCATGCCGATTGTTAACCCTGCTCACGGAGCTGAGGCGTTGCGAATTCACTGGCAGGGCATCTTCTCCGAGGTGGCGGTGGAGGAGGAGGTCATAGACATGTTAATACCGTTTGTGGACAAAGCCCTCCCGAACCCTGTTACGAAAATGCCGTTCTACCACTTTGTCGAGCTTCTGGGGGCTCAGTCGGATTCTGCCGTTGGCCCTGATGGGCTCCCGTATTCTGTTTGGCGGAAAGGAGGACGTCTGATGAACGAAACCCTGTACGAGTTATACGAGGCTCTACTGAGTGGCACCCCATTTGCCACATCAGTTTAACATTGCACTAAGTGTCTTTCTGCCCAAGGGCACTGAGCGCGAGGACCAGTGCGCGATTGCCCGACAGCCCGCCATCACCCGCCCCATCGCCCCCCAGCAACACCGACAACAAAACTATCAGCAAGATGATTGGCTGGCACCTCGCGCCCATTGCCGACAGCTCAGTCGACTTCAGCCAGCGTGGCTTTATCGGAGGCCGTCAGCTTGCTGAAAACATTATCGAGCTCGAGGCCGTCATTCTCCGCTGGGTCTCAGTGTATGGTGAGCCAGAGGCTGCCCGTGCCTTTTTCGACATGTTCAGTGCCTTTCCGTCTCTGGCGCACGGTTGGATCTTCGGATTTTGCGGGCCATGGAACTTCCTCCAAATATTATCTGGGCCATCCAGGAGCTGTACCGTGACGTTGTCATGCGCGTTTCCTTTCGGGGATTTTGTGAGCAGGGCGGTTTGGGCATTCGGTGCTCCCGAGGGGTGAAACAAGGATGCCCGCTTTCTGGGTTGATTTGGGCGCTGTGCTTTGACCCGATTATCAGGAGAATGAAGTTCCAGCTCGCCCAGCATCAATGCAGGCTTGGTGTATTTGCGGATGACCTTGGGCTCTCGTGTAGGCACTTCTTTGAGAGTATGCCTGTGGTTCTGTCGGAGTCCAGGCTTGTTAAGCGAGGCGCTGGGCTCACTGTCAACACGAATAAGACGTTCATTGTGTTCTCCGGGGAGGAGGGGAAGGATTGGGTCGCCCAGAAGTTGAAGGATAAGGGGGTTGAGGAGGCAGATTTTCAGTTCGTTGCTTCTGCCAGGTATCTTGGGATTTTCTTAGGTCTCAGCAGTGCGGGGGCGTCTTGGGCTCACCCGATCTCCGAGCTTAAGAAGAGAATCTGCCACATCAAGAGTCTCCAGATGGGTCTTCTTGCAAGTCTGGCGGCTTTCAACCTTGTTGGGTTTCCGACGCTTACGTTTGTGGGCCAGTTCCTCCCGCCTCCACCCGAGGCCACTAGGGCTGTCCGAGAGGCGCTGCAGGCTTTGGCCAACGGGCCCAGGCATGCGATCCCTCCGAAGCTCTTGCAGAATTTCAAGACTATCGGTGCGCCGCTCGAGCCGCGCCATCTCGAGCTCGAATGTAAAGCTGCCGCGTATCGAGTTGCCGTTCGGAGTCCGCAACTGCACCTCGCTCGCGAAGAGTGGGCCCGCGCGCTGGAAGATGATGAGAGAGTCCTTCTCCCTCGCCGGCAGTTATGGGTGCAACAGAGCATCTTTCATCACCTCTCGACTGTGCAGGACGAGCTAGAGCTGATCCCTCGATGCCCTGTTGATCGTCACACGCCTAATCTTCAACGGAAAGTGTACCAGCTCCTTCAAGCTAATACTGATGTTCCCTCTGCTGCTGCTCTTCTGCTTCCTCGGCTTCAACACTTTGATCCTCAGCTTTCTCAACCTGATGCTGATCGTTGCTTTCGCAACTTGCTTCTCCTCAGCGCCGAGCTTCCCTTCTTCACTGTTGTCGCTCAGCTGCGGGGGATCTGCAACGGGTGGTGCACTACGAGGAGGTTTAGACATAACGGAGGAGGAGCTCTAACGTGTCTATTCGGATGTCGTGCTGTCGGTGGCGATTGTGTGAGACACTACTATGACTGCCCTGTAGCAGTAGCCGCTCTCTCCCGTTTGTTCCCTAGCCTGTCTGCCTGCTTTGCCGACCATCCATCTCTGTCTCGTCTTCTCCTTCATCGTGTTTGCTATTCTAATCGTAGCCAGCTGCTTTCTCTAGGTGTTGCCTCTGATCTCCTGCTCTCCTCTTTTAATGCGCTGAGGAGCAAGGGAAGGATTTCGAGTGCTCAGGTTTTTGTTTTGATGGAAGCCCGTGCCCGCGCTATTGCGAAGAAGGCAATGCGGGTCAGGCTGCTTCTTGCGACAGGCGCCAGTCCCGATCACTCCGAGACTGCGCTCGCGCCTGAGGGGTAAGGTTTCGAGTTTCGGGTCCGCGTTGCTCTCGAGAGTGGAATTCATGGACATCGGACTTCTCGTTTCTCTCCTGTTGCCTCGTGTCCGCTTCTTTCGCTTCCCTTGCTCGTTTCGTGTCCGCCTGCCCTCTCTCGTGGTGAGCGTCGCCTCCTCCTCCTCCTCCTCCTCCTCCTCCTCCTCATCCCCCCCTCCCCCTCGGTGGCCGCCTCAGACGCACGCCTCCGCACCCTCGGCAGGAGTCCGGCGTGTTCCGCACCGTCGGGATGTTCGTGGCCTTCCCAGACGCCTGGGTGGAGCGCATCTGCCAGAGGCCGCTGCGGTCGCCACTGCCGTGTCGGGGACGAGGGGGAGGACGAGAGGAGGCGAGGGCAGAAAAGGGCAAGTTGTGTAGTCCTTCGTGGGAGCTTCAAAGAGTTCCAGAAATCCTTGCCATTTTGAGATGTCGTCCGACTTCCATCGGGGTTTGTCGGCATTTGGACGACATCTGGACGATATGTGGATGAAAGGGTGAAGAGGGGTGGTCGAAAGCTGGCCTCAATCCTGTTGAGCTCGTGTTTTTTTTTTTGTTTTTTGTTTTTGAAAAGGCCGTGGAGGTCCGCAGAGGCCCTCATGAAGGCTCACGAATGGACATGGTAGGATGATGATGACGCCGAGTAGAAAGGGAAGCTAAGGAGGACCAGGAGGGAGTATGTATGGGATGAGGTGGATGGAGGAGTAGAAGGAGGAGCAGGAGGAGGAGGAGGAGGAGGAGGAGGAGGAGGAGGAGGAGGAGGAGGAGGAGAGGGAGAGCAGGAGGAGCAGGGCCAGGAGCAGGGCCTGGAGAGTGGATGGAGGAGGAGCGCAGGAGGGTGGGGTGGGAAGGAGGAGAGGGAGGAAACTGGTGGAATGAACATGAAGGTATGATAGCTCATGCGTTGGAGGAGGAGGAGGAGGAGGAGGAGGGGAGGAGAGGAGGAGAGGAGGAGTGGAGGGAGGAGGAGGAGGGAGGAGGAGGAGGAGGAGGGGGAGGAAGAAGGGGATAAGGAGGAGGTTGGGAAGTAGGGAAGGTTAAACCACGTGGAGGAGGAGAAGAGGAGGAGGGAGGAGGAGGAGGGGAAGGGAGGATGGAGGACGGACGATTACGGGACGATTGACTACCTCGCTTCGGGAGGAGGGAGGGAGGGAGGAGGATGGAGGAACAGTAGGGCAGAAGGGAGGAGGATGGAGGGGGAGGAGGCAGGGAAGGGAGCAGGAGGAGGAGCAGGAGGAGGAGGAGGGGGAGGAGGAGGAGGGGGGAGTGGAGGAGGAGGAGGAGGAGGAGGAGGAGGAGGAGGAGGAGGAGGAGGAAAAAGTGGATAAGGAGGAGGTTGGGAAGTAGGGAAGGTTAAACCACGTGGAGGAGGAAGAAGAGGAGGAGGAGGAGGGGAAGGGAGGATGGATGTTCTCGCCACGGATTGACTGCTGCGCCCTGACGATTTGGAATTGTGCCAGGACGCTATTCTTGGGAGTTCGACACCGCGAATCCATGTAACTGCTGAATCCGCATAACCCTGAACCCTTTCAACGCACCATTTCTGGTACGCTCGCTGAGCATGGGAATCCGCGAAGCCCTTGCAAATGTTTAAAACGAATGTGCGCGAAGCTGAGGCGAGAACCACACCTTGAGAAGGAGCTGCCCTCAATCCGTGAAGCTCTTGCACATGTTTAAAACGAATGTGCGCGGCGCTAGGGCGAGAGCCACATGCTGAACATTAACCGCCCTCACTCCGTGGAGCTCTTGCAGTTGCTAATGACGAACGCGCGCGGCGCTAAGGCGAGAGACACATTTTGAAAACGACCGCCCTCGATCAGTGAAACTCTTGCATCTTTCTAAAACGAATGTGCGCGGCGCTCAGGCGAGAACCACATTTTGAAAACCACCCGCCCTTAATATGTGAAGCTCTTGCAAACGTCTAAAATGAATGTTCGCGGCGCTTAGGCGAGAGCCACAGTTTGAAACGACCCGGCCAGAATCCGTGAAACCCTCGCACAGTTTGAAAACCAATGTGCGCGACGCTTCGGCGATAGCAACATTTTGAAAACGACCCGCCCTCTATCTGTGAAGCCGTTGCCACTTTTCAGTTGCAGGGGCATAAATGGTGAGGAGGTCTCAGGCGAAACGTTCGGCCCGCCCTAAAAACTAGCCTCGGGGTGCGACAGGGAGAAGCTATGCATAAGGAAAAGGAATGGGGGAGGAGGAGGAGGAGGAGGAGGAGGAGGAGGAGGAGGAGCAGGAGCAGGAGGAGGAGGAGGGAGAGGAGGAGGAGGAGGAGGAGGAAGAGGAGAGGAGGAGGAGGAGAGAGGAGGAGAAGGAGGAGGAGGAGGAGGGGAGGAGGAGGGAGGAGGAGGAGGAGGAGGAGGAAGAGGAGGAGAGGAGGAGGAGGAGGCGGAAGAGGATGAGTTATGTATAAGGAAAAGGAATGGAGGAGGAGGAGGAGGAGGAGGAGGAGGAGGAGGCGCAGGAGGAGGAGGAGAAGGGGGAGGAAGAGGGGTTAGGGAGACAGGATTGAGGGAGGACCTCGTGCTCCACCTCTGGGGTGTGCGGCGCGGCAGTCGTGGAGCCCCCGGCTGCACTTTGCCGCGGACCTCGCGCTCCTCGCGAGAGGAAAGCGCAGAGACGTCGTTCTCCTGCCGCTCGTCTGCATTTTCTCGAAGCCGTCCCCGAATGCGGGATGACGATTAATAAAACATGGGAGAGAACGATTAAAAGAACATAGTTTTCTGTTATTTCTGTACAGTTTTCTGACTGGAGGAGAACGCTTTAAAACAAAAAAAGTTTTCCAGCCCGCGGCCTGTTTTTTCTAATCGTTATCCCGGGCGCCGCCGCGTGAACAAGACCCCCGGTCATCCTCCATTAGCTGCTTCTTCACTGTTCAGGGCGGACCTCGAGACCAGCTGCCCTGCCACTGCCGCAGCTGTGCCTGCGACAGCCGACCCTGTGAAACCCCCCCCAGGTCCCGTCGTTCCTCCTCCTCTTCCTCCCCCTCCTCCTTCTCCTCCTTCTCCTCCTCCTCCTCCTCCTCCTCCTCGTCCTCTGCTTGAATAAAAATCGGCCAAATCATGAACATACTATGTCGGAGGTGCGCGCGGATTTCTTGGGCCTGCGCTGGACCCCTCCCAGAGTTCGGAGCGCGCCAGGGGCGGCGCCGGTGGCGAGGCGGCGGGCAGGTCCGAAGGCCGTCCCGAGGCGAGATGCTGCTTTCTCGTAGGGAGTTTCCTTCTGCACGTCGCCCCACCAGGCCCGTCGGCAGGGCGGTCCTGCAGTTCTGCTTAGCCTTCATGCCCTCTCGGTGACCCTCAGGATTGGGCTGTCCAGAGTCGCCGAGGAAGCAGTCATCGGCGCCTGCATCGTGCGCACCCTATGTTCGCATCGTGCGTCCGGTGTTTACTCAAACGGATTCCCCTCTGCACGTTCGCAATGCATTGTCACGGGCTCACCGCGACGTTGCGAGGCGTCGGCGCAGTGTCCCAGGTCCCAGGCTGTTACCAAGAAAATGTAGCTCAAAGCTTGAAAGCTCGAACCCCCGACGGAGCTCGAGGGTAACTTCTTCGCCTGGAGGTGTCGCCCAGGACCTCCACCAGTTCTATAGAGCTGCACGGATGTGGTTGACTCCTTCTCAATGTTTTGGCCGTGAGGTGTCCGACCCGCTACATGGAGGGCACCGCCCTCTCATCTCCATTGTGTCTTGCCGGGCTAGTCGGCCAAATGTTACTTTTGATGCGCACTTCCGTCCGGGTTGGGCTCTCACCATAGAGTTTCGCGATGCGGTTGCCAGCCAGGCGCCCCCCCCAGGCGAGCCGCAGCGATGCCCAAGCTGAGGCTACAGGGTGGTGCCGTCGTCCTGGGCCACGTGCAGGAAGGCCTGCAGCGCACCTCCCATGGCGGCCACCCCTGCGGAGGCCGTGGCCGCAGGGCCCCCCCCCCTGCCCCCTCTCGCCCCCCCTCGCTGGAGCCAAGTAGAACTGAGCAAACAGAAGTTTTCGGAGTTCCTCGCGGATTGCCCCCCCTGCCCCCTCTCGCCCCCCTTCGCTGGAGCCAGGTAAAGCTGAGCAACCCGAAGTTTTCGGAGCTCCTCGCGGACTGCTCGGATCGGCGCTGGGCCTCTCCCCATGGAGCGCGGAGGTCGCCAGGGGGTTGGCTCCGGAGGCGCCGCCAGGGGGGGCCCAGCGCCGATCCGGGAGATCCGCGTGGAGCGCGGGAAGCTCGCGTTTTTGCGGCTTGTGGCTCCTGTGTTGCCCTGCTGGTGCACGGGGCTGGACCTCAACGCTGTTGTGCTGGACTTCGGCTGTGTCTTGCTGTTCTTTTTTTGGGGAGGGAGGTGCAGGACATCAGGCACAGGCAGAGCACACCGAATACCATAACGATAACAAAACGAAACACTACGTTCAGGTCCAGCCCTGTTGGTGCACGGGGCTGGACCTAAACGCTGTTGTGCTGGACTTCGGCTGTGTCGTGTTGTTCGTTTGTTGGAGGGAGGTACAGGACATCAGGCACAGGCAGAGCACACCGAACACCATAACGATAACAAAACGAAACACTACGTTTAGATCCAGCCCTGTTGGTGCACGGAGCTGGACCTAAACGTTGTTGTGCTGAACTTCGGCTGTGTCTTTTTCTTCGTTTTTTGGGAGGGAGGTGCAGGAAATCAGGCAGAGCAAACCGAAAAACATAACCATAACATAATGTGCTCGTTTTTTTATTAATTGTTTTGCCGATCGGCGCGGGCCCTCGCACCCCCCCCCCTCCCCCCCTCTTGTGGAGTAGATCTTGGCTGTGGCTGCTTTTCGGCGCCTGTTTCGAGCGGGTGGAGTCTCCCCCATAGGACGCACGGTCCCAAACAGTCGCACTGAGCAGAGGTCCGGAGCCAGACCCACCCTCACCCCCCCCTTCCGCCCAATGTGGAAGCGCCAATTTTTTTTGAACGCTCACACAGCGAAACACAGCGTTTAGGTCCAGCCCTGCTGGTGCACGGCGTCCGCGCCTTTTTTCCAGCGGGCCCTCGAGCCCGTGAGGCGAGCGAAGATGCTTGCCACGCTGGCTGCCAGTCGGAGGGCGCGCTGCAGCCTCGGCGGCGCGTACCGGGCTGGCTTCGGCCTTCTTCTTCCTCCTCCTCCTCCTCCATTCTCCTCCTCTTCTCCTCCTCCTCCTCCTCCATTCTCCATCCTTCTCCTCTTCCTGCATACTTCTCCTCCCTCCTTCTCCATCCTTCTCCTCCTCGTCCTCCTCCTCCTCCTCCATCCTCCATCCTCCATCCTTCTCCTCTCTCCTGCATCCTTCTCCTCCATCCTCCTTCATCCTCCATCCTTCTCCTTCATCCTCCATCCTTCTCCTCTTCCTCCTCCTCCTCCTCCTCCTCCTCCTCCTCCATCCTCCTCCTTCTCATCCATTATCCTTCTCCTTCTCATCCTCCTCCTCCCCTTCCTCCTCCATCCTTCTCCACTTCCTCCTTCTCATCCGTCCCTCCTAGTCGTCCTCCTTCCCCCTCCTCCGACACGACTTGCTCGCAGATGCTCCAGTCCAAGATTGCACGGGTGGAATAGTCCAGACTGAACTTCCATGAGTAGCATCGCGTATCATCCGCATCATCCTCGCCGTGGGCCATCACCTCTTCCCCTCCCGCTCCTGCTTTGGCCATGTGGTCTGAGTGTCATCTGCATTGTGCTTACCTGGAGTCCAGCTGGAGTCTAACTCGCATCTGCCTGGCGCGGGGAGCAGGCCCAGTTAGGCCTCGGGTAGACCCAGGGCTGCTTCCAGGCGGAGGCTCTCGACGAGAGGGATGAATGGGGCTTCAGCCGCAGGAGCAGCTCGGCAGACAGCTGTTTTACACGAGGGTGTGTGTCAGCCAGTTATGCCGTACACGAGGGGGTGATATCAAACGGTACTGTTTGACGCATGATGGCCCCGCGTGCGTTCTAGTTGTATGTCACGCGCGATGGTCTCACAGCAGATAGAGAAAGAGAGAGAGAGAGAGAGAGCGCGGGCTTGCACAACGGAATATATGATGAGAACATATGTAGGACCCACCAGTTGTCGAGCTATGGATTGCCAACGACAGCGGCCGACGCGACCCTCCTGAATGCATTGTGCAGTCGGGGAGTGTAAGCAATGCCTGGACACCCAACGTTGTTTCCCCTTTCTCCCCTTCTCAATCCTCCTTCTCCTGAGCCCAGCGTCGCTAGCTTAGCAAACCCTGGTGTTGTTCCAAGGGGCATGGGCCTAAATCGAAAACCGATTTGGCCACAACATATTTTGCATGCGATGGTGCTTACGAGCTGTCGTTTTTAAGCAGCGCGCTGTAGATATGCAGTGGTGCGCCCTGTCTGTATGTCGCACGGCGGCTGACCTAACCTGCGACTATATGCACGCTTCAACGGGGCGGTTTGCACAATGTGTTACATGTAAGTCGCGGTTTTGCGGCATGTATGTCGCCCGATACGCATTGTGTGCGAGGCGCAAGACCAAGCAGCTGCGTTGATTTAGGATGCGTTACGCAGTGAGCTGGTTGTAACTTGAGCAGTCTGGCTTGACACCTGTCAGGTCCGCAAAGACGGACGATGGCAGAACCGAGCAGCCCCGAGGAAAGAGACCGCGGGCGAGCGGACCCGGCGATTGACTGGGCGAAGACGGCCGCCACGAAGAGGTCCGCAGTGAAATTGACTTGGCGAAGACGACCGGGCGGAGATGGCCGCAGCGGAGACGGCCGTGGCGAAGACGACCGCGGCCAGGATGATCGCTGACGAGACGCTTGGACGAGTGGACGCCTGGTCCATCTTTGTGCGCGGAATTGTGCTCGGGCTTCTGGGTTCGTGCCTTTGTCGTCCTCCTCCTCCTCCTCCTCCTCCTCCTCTTCTGCCTCCTCCTCCTCCTCCTCCTCCTCCTCCTCCTCCTCCTCCTCCTCCTCCTCCTCGTTGTCCCCCTTGCGAGAGGCGGGGCGAAGGGCGAAGTATCCTCGATCCTCCCCGCGCTCTTCGATCCGCGACCCCTCGGCCCCTCCTCCTCCTCCTCCTCCTCCTCCTCCTCCTCCTCCTCCTCCTCCTCCTCCTCCTCCTCCTCCTCCTCCTCGCCCCGAGGGGGCCCCTCCCCTAGGGGAGGGGTCGGGACCCCAGGGTCCTCCTGGCGCAGGCGGGGAGCGCCGGGCCCGAGGGGCGAAAAGCCCCCGCGCCCGGGACGGCCCCCAAAGCGGGGTCTCCTTCCCGGGGGGCCCCCGGCCACGCAGCTTCCCACGGGAGCCTGGCTACCCAGCCAGGTGTCCCCCGTGGGAGTCGTGGCTGGGGGGTCCGTCTTTCCCCGTCGTGTCGTCGCCGTCGCTGTCGTCGTCTGTCGTGTCGTGGCGGGCCCCTGGGGTGGGTGGTGTGGGTTTGGTTTGGCCTTGCCCCCCCCGTTCTGTCGGCTGCCGGGTGTTTCCGGCTGGGCCGTTTCCGGCCGACCGAATCGTGGGGGGGGAGCTGGCCAGCCATCCCCATGCTGCCCGCTTGCGGGGGTCCCGCTGGCGCCGTGCGCCACCCGCGCCGTGAGCGCCCCGCGGCCGGCCGCGCCCGCGCGCTTGCGCCCGGCCGCGGCGGCGCGCGGCTGTAGTGCCGTGCTTTCCCTTCGGGTCCTTCCATTCCATTCCATTCCATTCCATTCCATTCCATTCCATTCCATTCCATTCCATTCCATTCCATTCCATTCCATTCCATTCCATTCCTCCTCCTCCTCCTCCCCCCCCACGGCCAGCCAGTGGCCCGAGGCGCCGGACCGTGCCACCCCCCTCGTGCTCTACGGCGGCCGCCCGCCCCTGCAGGGCGGGCGGGCGTGCGGGCGCCCGGCCCCGCAGGGGGAGGTCGGGCGGGCATGACGGCGGCCTGCCCCGCCCTGCCGCAGGAGGCGGCGGCCGACGGCGACCCCGCGGCCACCGGAGAGTAGAGAACGCGGCCCACAGACAGACCCGTCGGTCGTCGAAAGCTGCCGGAAATGCTAGACAAAGACGAGGGACAAACATAACAAGTATGAAGCAACACGACAAAAAAGACGATCACAAGACGAATCCAGAAACAGAAAAGTATGGGAAACACGCAAAAACAACTAGAACACCGAAAAATCGTATTCCAAAAAAGCCCGTGTTTTTTCGGGGGGATGCCCGGGTTCCAATCTGCTTCAGGCGTCCCCCTGCTTCGGGGATCGAGCGGCCTCATCGTGTCCGTTCTCTCTCGGGGGCGGGCGGTAATTAGCCCAATCTAGCTCAACGCCTTCCATCCTGCTCCATGCTTCTGCATGCTTCCTCCGACCGATGGCTGATTCTTCGGGCCCGTGCGGGTTTCTTGGGTCGGTGCCGGGCCCCTCCCTGGCGGCGCGCCAGGGAGGGGGCCCAGCGTCGATTCACAAGGTCCGCGCGGACCTCGGGGAACTTATGCTTGTGCAGCTTTTTTCGGTCTCCCCAGACATCCGACGTCTCGACTTTGTCGAGACGCTGGCCCCCGAACTCCCGACCACTTCCCCAGGACCGTTTTTACGTCCCGAGGCGTTTTCTGACGGTCCCGAGGCCCGGCGAGAGCCCCAGGAGGCCAGAAACGACGCAGAACGAAGCGTTTTGTTGTTGTTTCGAGACGCGCGATGTCGGGGGACCTCGGGGCCTCTGTGCCTGTGCCGTTTTTTGGATGGGTTCCTCCAGGCCAACAAGCGGCACCGCTTGGTCGCGGCGGCGGCGGCGGTCCTCGATTCCTCGGGCCGCCTGCTGGTCCGCGAGCACCCCGGGCAGCCTGGCGCCTGGGTCTGCCCGCAGGGCGGTGTGGGCGCCGAGGCCACCTGCCCGTGAGGGTGTCCCTCCGCCGGAGGAGGAGGAGGAGGAGGAGGAGGAGGAGGAGGAGGAGGAGCGAACAAAAACGGCCCCGGGGAAGCGGTCGGGAGGTCGGGTGCCAGCACCTCGAGAAATCGCAGCGTCGGATGTCTGGGTTGCCCCCAGAAGAGACAGCGTTTTCGTCCCCTAGCGTTATGTCGGGCGTGTCCCCCTACAGGGGGATTTTCAACAAACAAAAAAAGACAATACCCCAAACATATTCCAAAAAGGTCAAAAAACCCAAACATAGTCCCCAGACTATTTTTGCATTATTTTTTGACTATTTTTGGAAGTGACGGGGGGGGGGGGAAGGGGGGGGGAAGGGAAACGGGGCAGGGCGCGCCAGGATTCGCGCCGGCGGCGTCTGGGAGTGCTGAATTACTGGGTGGGCGGGGCCGGTCACGGGCGTTATCGCGCACAATTCGGGAGCTTTGAGACGGGGGTCAGTGCAAACGTAGGTCAGCCAGAGCGCCCGATCTTGCAGGATCCTGCAGGGCCAGGGGCGCACTGACCCGGGCTTGGGCGCAGGATCCTCGGGATCTTGCAGGATCCTTCGCATGGACCCGGGTCTGGGTGCAGGATTTCGCAGGATCTTGCAGGACTCTGCAGGGCCTGACCCAGGTCTGGATTCACCCTGGTCAGAAGATCACCGAACCATGCACAGAGAGGCCCAGGACCGAGCACCAGAGGTCACACCTGCCCAGGGTCCGTCCCCTGCGATCCGGCGGCGCGGAATTAGGGAGGCATCGTAGCAGAGTCACGGCCAGGGTCCCAGACCCCATCTCTCTGCAGCATCTGTCGGGCTGGAGCGACCTGTGCGGGTCGCGGGGCCCTGAACCAGGCAGAGACGCTCCAGGCTCGAACAAACGCATCGGGATGCCAGGATCTCAGGGTGCAGTCGGGGCCCTGAAGAAGGGACCCTTTTGGTTGGGGAGGGGCTCCGCGTTCCTTCAATGTTTCACAGCTTGCCTCAGGTTTTCCTTATGTTTTCGATCGGAAATCGAAGTTTAACTTGTGGAAAAAAGGGGCCTCGTTCCTTATTCAGGGTTCCTTAGGTCAACGCCCCGACTGTATTGCGCGAAGCCGAGGAGAGCTCCGCGGAGAGCGTCGCCGGCGCGGCGGCCAGGGCTCTGCTGGAGTCCACGGGGCTCACGGAGGCACACGTCGTGCCCGCGGCGGCGCAGGGGGCCGACGAGGGCGACGGCGCGGCCGAGCGGCAGCTGCGCTGGGCCCTGTGCTTCGCTTAGTTGCCCCGGTATTAAGTCGGGCGTGTCCCTCTACGGTCTACGGGAGGAGTATTCAGCAATAGTCCAGAAATAGTCTGGGGACGATGTTTGAGCAGTTGTTTGGCTACTTCTCTGCATATTTTAGGGGGTCTTTTTGGCGCGTTCCGCCCAAGAGCCGCCTGTAGGGGGACAGGCCCGACCGAACCCTGGCACCCCGAGATTCAATTTTGTTCGAACCGGGCGTTTCCGCTCTATCTCGGGCCCCTGGACACCTTCACATTGTGACGCGACTCGGCAAATGGCGCCGAAAGGTGGGGTCAAGGGTTCCAGTCATGATTTTTAATTACAGTCGAGGCGTTGACCTAAGGAACCCTAAATAAGGAACGAGGCCCCTTTTTCCCATAAGTTCAACCTCGATATCCCATGGAAAACCTCAGGAAAACCCGAAGCAAACCCGGGTCAAGGGTTCCAGTCATGATTTTCGATTGCGTTCCATTACTTTCGCGACGTCGGATCTCAGGGCACGCCCGTGTTGCAACGCAACACGCTACCATACTCAAGACGTCCGGGTTGAGCACGCTGCGTGTTGGCTCAGCACGTGTTGGGCCAGCATTCTGGCAAGCGCACCGTGCCAGACCTGCGCCGTCAAGCTGCGTGGTGAGCTACGTGCCAGCACGATGTGGGTTGCGCGCCGCGCATCGGGGCAGCCTGTTCGGGCATGCCCCCCTACAGGAGGAGTACCCAAGACTAGTTTGGACCTGTCCGGTGGCGATTGTTCGTGAGCTCTTGGCTATATTTGATCATGTATTGACGGTTCGTTTGCAATTTTATAGCCTTGGCTCTTGGCTGCATCCTTCTGCCAAAACCGCCTGTAGGAGGGCACGCCCGACCAAAAGCCTGAGGTCGGCGGCAGCGAGGGGGGGAAGTGAGAAGGAGAACGCCTTCTCGGAAGGCGGCGGGACTCCTCCTCCTCCTCCTCCTCCTCCTCCTCCTCCTCCTCCTGCTCCTCCTCCTCCTGCTCCTCCGCCTCCTCCTCCTCCTCCTCCTCCTCTTCCTCCTCCCCCTCCCCTCCCCCTCCTCCTCCTCCTCCTCCTCCTCCACCTCCTTCCTCCTCCTCCTCCTCCTCCTCCTCCTCCTCCTCCTCCCCTCCTCCTCCTCCCCCTCCTCCTCCTTCTCCTCCTCCTCCCCCTCCTCCTCCTCCTCCTCCTCTCCTCCTCCTCCTCCTCCTCCTCCTCCTCGTCCCTCCTCCCCTCCTCCTCCTCCTCTCCTCCTCCCTCCTCCTCCTCCTCCTCCTCCTCCTCCTCCTCCTCCTCCTCCCTCCTCCTCCTCCTCCCTCCCCTCCTCCTCCTCCTCCTCCTCCTCCCCCTCCTCCTCCTCCTTCTCAGAAGCCCTCGCGCCTTCTGGGAACTGGTTCGTGTCTTCGGAAAAGGCTAGGAACAATTCTCAGAAAGCCCGGGACTTCCGAGCCTTCTGAGGAGGCCCGCCCCTTCTCGTTTCCCCCCCTTTCCCTGACATCCGACGTCTCGATTCTTTCGAGACACGGGCCCCCGACCTCCCGACCACTTCCCCGGGAACAGTTTCTCCTCCCGAGTCGTTCTCTGGCGGTCCCGTGGCCCGGCGAGGGCCCCGAGAGGCCGAAACCGACGCAAAACCTCCGCCTCGATTTTCCCGAAGAGGAGGAGGAGGAGGAGGAGGAGGAGGAGG